CTTTGGACCTCTACAACAAAAGTATCTTAGTCGGCGCTTTAATTCCACGTTTTTATCCTGAATTCATGTTAAGCGTCACTGAAAAAAATGTTTCATATTTAGTTGAATATGCCAAATTGCCCCAAACCTCTCTCTTTGGACCTCTACAAAGTTAAATTCCCCTCCAAAAAGCTTTAAATTAATTCCACGTTGTTATCCTCTTTGTATTTGTATAGTGGACTGCAAAATTGCCCCAAAATTGTTGCTTTCGACCCGTACACTTCTAAATTCTCGTGCCAAAAAAACTGCCCAAAAAGTATCTTAGCCGGCCACATTAATTTCAAAGCTACCCTCTTCAAAATTGTCGATTTGGACCTTTGTTTGCACTTAAATTGTCTCGCCAAAGAACTTAGCAGACCACATTGATTCCTTGTTAAGTCCATTTTCCCGCCAAAAAAAACTAATTGGCACCCTCACCTGGTTAATTAATTGGATTAAGTTTTCCCGCCAAAAAACTTATATACAGCACTCTAACCTTGAACTTGTGCCCCCCTCCCCACTCTTCCTGCCCACCTCCCACACTTCTTCCACAACTCAGAGTATGTCAGTTACACTGTAAGTGTTCTCTGGACTTCTTCGCACATGTAGTCACCACACTCTGCTACAAAAACACTTGGTTGATCGAGTGCAGTTTTTCCACCACTTAGACTTTAGAATTATCTCTTACTCTCCTGGTCGGTCAATGCACTAAGTGTACTCCCCGGGGGATGTCTTTTCGGAGACATTGATGCTTCGACACATCAGTATACCAGTGCAATTGACTGACCAGGAGAGCCGGAGATTATTCTAAAGTCTAAGTGGTGGAAAAACTGCACTCGATCAACCAAGTGTTTGTGTAGCAGAGTGTGGTGACTACATGTGCGAAGAAGTCCAGAGAACAGTGTAACTGACATACTCTGAGTTGTGGAAGAAGTGTGGGAGGTGGGCAGGAAGAGTGGGGAGGGGGGCACAAGTTCAAGGTTAGAGTGCTGTATATACTAAGTTTTTTGGCGGGAACACTTAATCCAATTAATTAACCAGGTGAGGGTGCCAATTAGTTTTTTTTTGGCGGGAAAATGGACTTAACAAGGAATCAATGTGGTCTGCTAAGTTCTTCGGCAAAACAATTTTGAAGACGATAGCTATAAATTTAATGTGGCCGGCTAAGATACTTTTTGGGCAATTTGGCTAAACAATATGAAAAATTCTTCCTTGACACTAAAAAAGATAACATGAATTCAGGACAACGTGGCATTGAAAGGGCCGACTAAGATACAAAGTTTTTTGGCACGAGAATTTAGAAGTGAACAGGTCGAAAGCAACAATTTGGGGCCAATTTGGCAGTCCACTATACAATACAAAGAGGATAACAACGTGGAATTAATTCAAAGCTTTTTGGCGGGAGAATTTAACTGTATATAGGTCCAAAGCGACAATTTTGGGGCAATTTGCCATTCAACTAATAATAATATACGATACAAAGAATTTTTCAGTGTCCTTTGTCATAGAATTGAAGATGATTAACGTCAAATGGCTCCTCACCTAAAGAAGGCTTGCCGACCCTCAGAGTATAGAGAACTGGGCAAAAAATAGAACTGCGAGTGCAAGTGTGTGCATGTGGAGTGTTGTCTTGTGTTAATAAGGAAACATACTCACACCTCCCCATCTTCTTTTACACACTCAGGTTGAGATCTGCCAATAAAAGTCTGGTCCTTCATTCTGCTACAGTCTGGTCTCCGAATCATCCAAAATGTCGTCTTGAAGACAGAGAACAAAAGTCAGTGTATTGAAAGCAACGATTGGCGATGCTACGAAAACGTTAACTTTACAATGTTGTGCTATGGTCACACCAATGTTATCAAAGATTTTGCAGAATGTCAATACAGCAATGCAGTCTAGGCAAAACAATTTTAGTCCTCCTGGCATCCCTTGATACTCCAAATACCATACGAGCCACAAATTCAAGAAACTGGGCTGGTTCACAATATCAGACAATGAATTTTTTAAACTTTCAATCAAATCACTGCATGGTTGAATAGAAAAAATTACAGTAGCAACAAAGTCAAGGACTTTGCTTCATCAATGCTGGTGCCAAAATGTCATATTTTTTTTTAAATCATACAAAAATAAAGCAGGCAACTCTGAGAACCAAGAAAGACCATTAAATTGGTGTAGCCAACCCCAAAACATGTTTATATTCAATACAGACAAAACTGTCACTGATGGCACTATGTAGGTTATCTTTGTAACATTTCAACCTTTCAAATGTATGTTTGGAAATACAAATTTACCAGTTCAATGTCTTGGTCTTCTTCTGTGCTGTGTCTCAAATCTTCTGTGTCTTCAAGTACTTTTCTAAGCTCTCATTTGGTCTGCATTGGACAGGAGTCGCCGGTCATCACAGGTTTCTCCCAGTCAGCACAGGAAAGTCAGGACACACCTACATGTAATAATGAAAGGATAATTAGTTGGATGCAAAAACATCTCCCATTCAACACTGAATGGCCATTATAGATAAGAAACTTGAACAATTGACTATCCCTTTGCTTATCAATAAATCTGATGTAGAAAAATGCTGTAACATTGATTTAAAAATTCAGACTGTATGTTATTTCTTTAAAGTTACAGTGACGTTAATTCTGACATATTAGAATACTTTCCTCAAATACACCAAGTGGAATTTTCAAAATGCAGAATTGAGATTTTTCTCACCTGATATTCTTCTAGGGTCTTCTGGCTTCGCCTGGTCTGGTCTGGTTCAATCCAGTCTTGTCAGGTTCAGACGGGAATCATCACTACTGCACCAGTCAGCAGCCACCTAACTATGCAGAGATACCAAGTTACACACGTAATACAAATAATAAAAAAATTGTACGCAAAATGTAGAGTTCCAATTTTCCTCACCTAGCCTGATACTCCTGTATCCGATCACCTGGTGCCTCTGCCATCACAAGTCTGATCGCATCTGGACAGGAACACTTGCAGAGCTGGCAACCCCTCAGTACACAGCTAACTACAGAATCAAATGAAAACAAGGTCAAGTTACAAGGTGTTATCAGCCCTGTCATACACAGACAATAAAAAGCTTAACAACTACTAGTAGACCAGAAACTTTTGATGGCATTCTTGAAGAGCTTAAAAGTCATGTTTAAAACATACAGCTAACACTCAATCACCTAACTGTGTAAAGAATAATCAATTTGAAGTATTGATGACAGAAATTGTACCAAGGAGGAGACTTGTTACATAACTTTTAAGACTTGATATGCGCTTTTCTAGACACTCAAGGGTAGCCCATACAGTTGGTTTAATTTAACAGAATGTCTTGTATGTGAATATTACATTAACTTTGCACATGTACATAAAATTTCATAAACTTGAGAATGTTCGATGTCTAATTATTTGGTTCTACGATTAAACAAAAAAAAAACAAATCAGATGCATGTAACAACATTACAGAATTCCTATCCAATACCTAAAATTCTTTAAGCTTCAAAAACAGACTTTAAGGCAAAAAATGAGAATTTGAGGGTTGACACAGAACCTGAATGTTACAAGTACATGTTTCTTTAATCAGGAAAAAAGGCTGGCAAATCCAAGAAATAACAAGTTTAAGTGGTGTTTCTTTGTCATTTTATCCCAGTCTGAAATACCTAGCCAAATGAAATGTTGCATGCATATCGACAGGCAAAATTTCTAGTGTTTTCAATGAGGGAAATTCCACAAATGTTCAACCCATATGTTTCCTTTCTGTTTCACAAACAACGGGCAAAATTATTATCCTTATTATTAGACCAGGTATACAGAAACAAACGCCCATTTTTTTGCTCTTAAAAATTTAACTCAAGAGTAGCAATACCTAACTGTCATATTCTGAGAGAAGACGTGATGAGTGAATATCACAGTGATATATATTGAAACAACAACGACCAAAAACTACACAAACCATCGTGTTGCATTCTCAAAATCACACAAATTTACAAAGAATATACCAAAACGTGTTGTTATCAGTTTGTGGGAAATAAATTCTACGACACGGCTTGTTGCCTTACCTTGTGAAAATTCAGCCCTCCCCAGGACCACGCCGACATCCTTCGGGCGCCATTTTCTCGTCTTCTCCAAAATCCACCACGTCAGGAAATCCGCAATTTCTTCGCCCAAAATCCAGAAAAGGGCACAACTCCATCGTAGTAACATCCCCGAAGATTTCTCCTACAAGTTAGAATGAATATTTTTCGAACTGGAAGCCGAAAATTTAGCAAAAAGTTGACAATTCCTGGTCTTCCCCGCGTAGCTCCGACAGATGCAGACTGATTGGGCCGTACCACTGTGACTTTTACACAGCTGTGTACAACAGTAGCCTCCTTAGCAGACTTGTTTGGCGGCGGAAAATTATTTTTTTCGGTGAGCGACAGGAGTTATGCCGCGGAGGGACGATTTTGAGGCCGAAGGATTTTTTGCCGTGGAGAGAAGGTCACGGCAAAAACTCCCTCGACAGCAAAATCGTCCCTCCACGGCATAACGCCGCCACCCAACTCTGCGAAAGAGTCTAGCACAACAGCTGGTCTAATTTACCCTGATTGCCACAACTACTTTACCGCCAAAAATCAATCCCCACAGAAAAATAATGGCTCTCTGCTAAAAATTTCGGACTAGTTTGTGTCAAAATAACACACAGGCAGTGTCAGCAGCAATAAGTTTTCAATTTGTTCAAAGTATAGTAGCCGGAATCTGCTAATTCAATCAGCCTCGACACCACATGTTTCTATGCAAACGGTACCTGTCCTTGGTGCTGAACGCCATCCTCATAGTAAAACACACAGTATGTGTGGTGAAAACCACACGCGCGCGCTCGCTTTTTGAGCGTCCGTAAAGTACAGGGACTTGTTAAAGCTGGCCAAACCTTACAGAAAAAAAATGGCAAGCACTTGAGGAAGGTATCCTGTATCTAAATCATGTTTATTATACATCTCATGTTACTTATGGTTCTTGCTACATACATTTTAACTCCTTGAACAATGAGTTTTGTTACTTATGCAGAAACATTACCTCACATTAGTCGGTCTAAAAAAATTACAAGCATATCTATTGTAAGGAATGGGTAGTTTCATTAATATTAATATCAATCTATTCGCAACCGTCTATGCATTACAATTTTTGGAGGGATTAGTAGAAAAGTACACTTATTAAATCATCGTATGCCCCATTTTAAATATTCTAAGTAGATATGGCAATACTTCAACATCATGCTGAGATGAATTTACTTGTAGTCTTCTTTGAAATTTTGTTAAATTATGTTGGTACTTAAAAGTATACGTTTTCAGTACTTAAAAGTATACGTTTTCAGTGTCTACCACTTTGATTTAAGAATTAATGAGATATTTTTTGTACTTTTCCCATTTGAACACCTGCATTCCTATCGTATACTATAAAACGGTAATCATCATCATTAGCAGGTTTACAAACGGTAATACAACAAGCCTAAAGCTCTTAAAACAGCTACAGACTGCAGTCCCTTTAGCTCCGGTCTGGAGCATGTGTTTTCATGTGTGTTTTGAGGTTGGAATGGTTATTGGAGCTGTATCCACAATGTTCATAGTCACACTTGTACGGTTTTTCTCCGCTGTGAGTCATCTTGTGTTTGGCCATGTTGGACAGGTTGGATGTCCTGTAGCCGCACTGGTCACACAGGTACCGCTTGTCGCCTGTGTGTACGGCGCCCTCGTGTTTCTTCAAGGCGGACTGTGTTCTACAACTGTAGTCGCAATGGGTACATTTGAACGGCTTCTCACCGGTATGGGTCATGATGTGCATTTGTAAACCTTTCCTGTGTGCTGACTTGTACCCACACTCCTCACAGACATAAGGTTTCTCCCCGGTGTGTGTCCGCATGTGAGACTGCAACTTAGACTTCTTTCTAGCCCTGAACTCGCACTCAGGACATGCGAACGGTTTCTCACCCGTGTGAATCCTCATGTGTACATCTAGACGATATTTTGTAATTGATCTGTAGCCGCACTCTTCACACACATACGGTTTGTCGTCCGTGTGTCTGCTAGCGATGTGGCTTTTTAAGGCGCCCTTGTCCATCGCGGCATAGTCGCAGTGGGGACACTTGTGCGGCCTCGGGCGGTACGCAGAGTGAATGAGTTCGTGTAGTTCCATGCGGTCTCTCCGAACAAACTTGCAGCCACACGTGCCGCAAGCAAATCGCTTTTCTCTCGTATGTTTGTTGGCGACGTGGCTCTCGTAGTACCGCAGATTGTCGCTAGAGTAGTCGCACTGGTCATAGCGGCACTTGTAAAGCTTTGCTACTGTCCTTTTGGCTTGCTGTATAGCGCTCTGAACATGCGTGGTTTGCTGGGTACCGTTCTGTACCTGAGTGGCTTGTTGTATACCGTTCTGTGTGGCTTGTTGTATACCGTTCTGTACATGCGTGGTTTGCTGTATAGCGTTCTGAACATTCGTGGTTTGCTGTATACCGTTCTGTACATGGATGACTTGTTGTATACCGCTCTGTACATGCGTGGCTTGTTGTATACCGCTCTGTACATGTGCAGCTTGTTGTATACTGTTTTGTACACGAGTGGCTTGTTGTATACCGTTCTGTGTGGCTTGTTGTATACCGCTCTGCGTGGCTTGTTGTATACCGCTCTGTGTGGCTTGTTGTATACCGCTCTGCGTGGCTTGTTGTATACTGTTCTGCGTGGCTTGTTGTATACTGTTCTGCGTGGCTTGTTGTATACCGCTCTGTGTGGCTTGTTGTATATCGCTCTGTGTGGCTTGTTGTATATCGCTCTGTGTGGCTTTTTTTATACTGTTCTGTGTGGCTTGTTGTATACCGCTCTTTGTGGCTATACCTGGATACGAAGTCTGCATGTTGCCGTTGTGCATATTAAATTTGAAACAAAATCTTTGAGGTAGTTTGTCAAGGATGGAGTGCTGAACGTGTGGTCTTGTCCTAAAGAAAAACAACAGAAATAAAAACAACATTTCTTATCTAATGTTCTGTAGATGAAAGGTGGCTGCCACATGAGCGGTCAAAGGTCATCTCAAGCAAGAGCAGATTTTGTAAGGGTACTAGTATATAAAGCTTAGGTAAATGTTAGTGCCATTTCTCATGAATGATTTTTCTCTCAGTGATAAAGGTATCTATGCCTAAGACTTTGGTACGTGGGCTTTTGATGAAAGATGTTGACACTGTAAAAGAATTCAAAACCGAATGCAAAGCATTGGAGCAAACATTAGCAGTTGCAGCAACAAAGACATATCATTTTTCGTTCCTCATGATTTTTCCATGGTGGCCTCATGAATAGCATCGCTACGTTTTTGTTCTGGAACTCCCTTTTGTCAAGAGCAGAGCAAAGGTCGACAGATGGTTTGGAAAGGCCGGGAATAAAAGAATGAGCCAGGACAATACAAGTCTGGTCTCATGAAATAACGACTAAACTTTACCCTAATTTTCAGACTTCACAGAATAGACGTATACGTTTGATTTTATTAGTCACAAGCTCCTAATTCATTTTACAGTGTACTTTTAAACCTTCCCATCTTTTTTTCTATTTTTAGCTGAAAAATCATTCAGAAAGCTCTACATTTAATTTTTGTTCAGCCCACATAACTGGAAAAGGTCTTGAAAGCTGACTACAGGCGAATCTGGGCTTTAAATGGATTACAGGCAAACAAATTCAACTCGTCGAGTCCGTCACCATACAACAGAAATAGCCTTTTTTTATGAACAACTTCCTAATCTTTCCATGTGACACCAACACGTGGGACACATAATTTGATACCTTTTCTATTTCTGCACGGTATAAAATGGGCTGTTGCAAATAACATTACATTGCTGCTACCCAGAACTACAAAAAAATTGAACAGAAATAATACAGCATAATGGAATCAATATTGGAGCTGCTTATTTCATAGTACACACATCGATGTGTGCACGTGTACCATCAACTGTTAGGCAATTACTCAGACAATAGGGTAAATTTTGAAATCTGTCAGTGACCAGCGAAAAGTAAACAATGAAACGGGGAAAGAAGTACCTTTGAATAAGTTCCCTGCTCTGAACTGCTTTCTGTGATCTCCCAGATGTGCAAATACTTAGAAGCACTCGACATTCATGGTGTGAATCAGAAGGCAATTCTGTTTGCTGTGAATCCTCCCTCCGCCAGGGATTTGCGAATTTTCATTGGACAATGGTTGTCAAGACAACGCGACCCCGCCAGAAGAATAAAGAACATTCCTAAAACGACAGTAGCGTAACAATGAAAAGGGGGGGGGGGCGCAATATTTGAATGAGATGAAACCGTGCAGAATTGCTCTGTATACTAGTAAACCATCCCATCGGGTATGTTGTGAAAATCTATGAGCTGTTTTGTACTTATTTCACCTCAGTATTTTGTTTAAATGTGCTAAGGCAAAGGCAAAGTGTTGGGAAACAAAATGAACGGAGAAAGACACTAGGCTACATGTACATGTATTATGATTCCATCAGAGTCTAGTCTGTAGTATCGGTTCTGTCCAAAGTTAAGACTAGCGGGTGTATGTTGTTGTGTATATCAAAGTAACGTTTAATCCTTCTTGGTCAACACTGTTTAAATATAAAAATGACCCAGACATAATAAAACGTTACTCCTCTATAAAAAGGATACATAATTTGACTTCATTATATAGAGTTCATTTTACAACAACGCCATACGCAGTAATAATCTGGCACATCTTCTATCTAACTTGTTCATACATTGTACCTGTATTATACATTTGTCACAAAAGTCTACGCATTATAAGAATTAGTATAAAAGTTCACTTATTAATTTAAAACTCTCAGTAGATATGGTAATACCTCATCATCATGCAAACACGAATTGAGTCGATCTTTTCGGTACGTGTTTTTGGCCAAGACTTGAAGTATTATGTTAGTATTTGAAAGTACGTTTTTAAGATCTACCACACTTTGAGAATCAATGAGATTCAATTGTTTCTGTACTTTTTCCATAAGAACACATACATGTACATTGCTAGCGAACATTTGAAAACACAGCAACATAACAACTATTTGCATGGCATTTCAGGTGCAGTTTTTGTTTTTAGCTCTGGTCTGGAGCATGTGTTTTCATGTGTGTTTTGAGGTTGGAAATGTTGTTGGACCTGTATCCACAATGGTCACATCTGAACGGTTTTTCTCCGCTGTGAGTCATCTTGTGTTTGGCCATGTTGGACAGGTTGGATGTCCTGTAGCCGCACTGGTCACACAGGAACCGCTTGTCGCCTGTGTGCACGGCGCCTTCGTGCCTCTTCAAGGCGGACTGTTGTCTACAACTGTAGTCGCAGTGGGCACATTTGAACGGCTTCTCACCGGTATGGGTCATGATGTGCTTTCGTAAAGTTGGCCTGCGCGCTGCTCTGAACCCACACTCGTCACAGACGTACGGCTTCTCCCCGGTATGTATCCGCAAGTGAGACTGTAACACAAACTTCTTTGTAGTCTTATACTCGCACTCTGGACATGCGTACGGTTTCTCACCCGTGTGAATCTTCGTGTGTAAATTTAGAAGAGATATTGTAACTGCTCTGTAGTCGCACACATCACACACATACGGTTTGTCGTCTGTGTGTTTGCTAGCGATGTGTTTTTTTAAGGTACTCTTTTCAAACGCGGCATAGTCGCAGTGGGGACACTTGTGCGGCCTCGGGCGGTACGCAGAGTGAGTGAGTTCGTGTAGTTCCATGTGGTCTATCCGAGCAGATCTATAGTCACACATGCTGCAAGCAAATTTCTTCTCTCCATTATGTTTGTTGGCGACGTGACTCTTGTAGTACCGCATATCGTCGCAAGAGTAGTCGCACTGGTCGTAGCGGCACTTGAAACGCTTTGCTACTGTCCCGTTGGCTTGCTGTATACCGCTTTGTACATGAGTGGTTTGTTGCGTACCGCTCTGTACCCGAGTGGCTTGTTGTATACCGCTCTGTGTGGCTTGTTGTATACCGTTCTGTGTGGCTTGTTGTATACCGTTATGTGTGGCTTGTTGTATACCGTTCTGTGTGGCTTGCTGTATAGCGTTCTGTACATGCGTGGCTTGTTGTATACCGGTCTGTACGTGCGTAGCTTGTTGTATACCGCCATGCGTGGCTTGTTGTATACCGCTCTGCGTGGCCATACCTGGATACGAAGTCTGCATGTTGCCGTTGTGCATATTAAATTTGTTCGATGTAGTTCGTAGTAGCTTGTCAAGGACGGAGTGCTGAACGTGTGATCTTGTCCTACAAAAGAACAACAGAAATAGAAACAGCATGTTAATGTTCTTTCGTTGACAGCTGGTTGCCTCAAGGGCGGTAAACAAAATGTCATCTCAATCAAGAGCAGATTTTGAAAAACAATGGAGGCAAGCTTTAATAGTGTTAGTGCCATTTCTCATTACTGGTTTTTCCCTACAACCTTTTCATTCAAGATATTTCATGCATAAATGGTGACAATGCTAAGTATGCTTCAGACTTTGGTACGTGGGCTTTTAATGGAATATCTTCACACTGTAAAAGAATGCAAAACGGAATGCACAGCTAAGCAAACATTAGCAGTGACAACAACAAAGACGAATGCTCGTTTTTTGTTCCTCCTCATCATGTTACCATGATGATATTCATGAATAGCATCACTGCGTTTTTTGTTCTGGGACTCCATTTTGTAAAGAGTCGAGCAGAGGAAAGGTCGACAGATGGTTTGAAAATGGCGGGATGTAAAAGAATGAGTCAGGACAATACAAGTCTGGTCTCGAAAACAATGGCTGAACTTTATATACTTAAAGGGTCATTATGTAACATTTTGCACTAAAAATGGAAGTATTTAGAAAGGTGTGATTTCATGTGACTTCAACTTTTCAACATATTTGTGCAATTGTCTCAAATTTCTGACATTTATGGTTGGCGCTAAAACAGCCCACACATGGCGGACGCAGTGATGCCACCATGAACTACCGGAATGTAAACAAACATGCATCGTTAACAGCTGTAATTTTAACCAAGTACATGTAGTTTCTACAGTTTCTGTACACACTCGTAAGGCTTCATATTTTCGCACATCCACTTTTTCTGATTGGTACTTCTTTGCAATGGGGTAGGGTTGATTGGTCAACTAAGTTTGTAAATAAATTGTGCAGAAAATCTCCTTTTTACAAATACATGTACATCTGTTTTGCTTTTTTGCAGAAATATATTTCATCCAGAAGATTCTATATCAATTTTGTTAGGAACACATGACTAGTAGAAGTCTTAAAATAAACCACAGGCGAAGTTAGGCTTTAACTGGATTACAGGCAAACTAATTCAACTATAGTCCAATCCGTCTATTTCCAACAGAAATAGCCTTTTTTATGAACAACTTCCTAATCTTTCCACGTGGGGGCACATAATTTGATTCCTTTTCTATTTCTGCATGGTATAAACTGTGCTGTTGGAAATAACATTACATGGATGCTAGCCGGAACTTACAAAAAAGTATGCTTTACATTAATACATTTTAGTGTAACTGAGTTTGGACCTGCATATTTTAAGGTGCACACGTCGATGAAAGTCATACATCCAAGGAATGACACACAAAACTGTTACTCAAGCAACTGGATAGATTTTGAAAGAGATATTGAGTACTAGCATCAACGACTTCTCGTTAGTCACTGACTAAAGGGACTGGGTCGTAATTGAGACATCTGACAGTTCGAAATCTGTCTTTGCTTCAGTAAAAGTTTTGTCATGTTTAGAAAACACAGCTCGCTTTTTAAGTTAGAATAGAAATAGAGAAAAAGGGAAAACGTACCTTGAAATAGTTCCGTGCGCTGTCCAAATTTCTGTGACCTCCCAGATCCTCAAATACTTAGAAGTACTCGACCTTCTATCCTAGCAATTCTGTTTGTCATGTGCCCTCCCTCCGCAAGGAATTTGCGAATTTTCATTGGACAATGGTTGTCACGACAACTCAACCCCGTAAGAAGAATGGAGAGCATTCCTAAATGGACAATAGCGTAACACTTAAAGAGGGGTGTGTGTCAATATTTGAATGGACGAAATCGTGTAGAAGTCATCTGTGTATGTAAACTATCGGGCATTTTGTTGAAAGAATATCTAAATTTAAACTCAAAAGCTTTGTGTTGTCTTGCACTTTTTTTCTCACTGTGCCAAAAGCAAAGTAGAATAAGGAAAAGTGTTGAGAAACAAAATGATCGAAGAAGAAGAAAACATCAGAGTACATTTTGATTATATCAGAGTCAAATCTGCAGTTCTAGTTTTTCCGCTATGAGACTATCGTACAAGCAGTCAACCAGTGTGCACAATTTAGGTCTTTTTAGGGATAGGAAAATCACAAAGGCTCGCCAACGGTTTTTAGTACTTTTAAGCATGAGGGCAGGCATTAAGAAATAGATGGTTTAAAATCTGAACAAAGTATGATAAAACTAGCTAAGAAAAATGATCAAGCCGTCAGAGATGCTCTATCGTCCTCATAATAAAATTGAGGCATTGTTTTTGATCTGTGCGTGTGTGTTACTGCATATGCATGAGCAGCTTATTATAACCTTATCCTTAATATCAACGAGACAGCAAAATTTACAAAAGCACTGGATACTTCATGGAGGGCTCCGAACTCTTTCATGGAGCTCGAGGTCTCTGAACTCTTGTTTTCATCCAATGCAGTAAAAAATCAAGTTACCAGCCATAATACTGTTAAGAATTACACGGAGATGCTCAATTTGCGACTCAGGATAACATAAGACGTCGGCCAGTTGCCGGGATATTTCTGTGAAGTTGAACAGGTGGTCTAACATTTCGCCGTGGGCTGTTATAAAACCAATCTTGGCACAAATTGGTATCTAATCAGATCAAGGACGGTAGGCGGATTTTCAACATCAATGACGTTTTCTTTCTTGTATGATCTTTGAGGAGAGATAATTACATTGTGGGTTGCTGCCTGATCTTCGCCGGGTCGTGTCTATGCCTAGGGGATTGCAGTTTTTTTTCTATGTAGGAAACCCTGCTGTGGGAATAAAAGGCAAGGCAAAAGCTTGGTTCCGGCGGCATTTTCCCCAGCAGTATCCATTGGTCAGGGGAGTGTCCATTAGCCACCTTCGCTAATGGACACTCCTCTGGCCAATGGATACTGCCTTGCCATTGTATGATCTGCTTGGAGATTAGCCTTATATTACACCTGAAATAAAACGATGTACAAAGTGTGTGAGATGACACGACGTAAGCTTCGAAGTTATCTTTTTGAGTCTCAGGCCAGTAAACTATGTCAGTGGGTCATATTCTCAAACCAATAACAGTTTTATCTCTACATACTATGCGAAATATAACAAAAAAAACTGGGAAACTTATCTTGTATACAATCGGATATGTTTTTCAATGCTGTATCATGCACAGTCAACAGAATGAAAGTCACCCTCAATTTTACCTAAGTTACAATATTGACTAATGCCCTAATTGTCTAAGTGAGGTCGACTTGTCTGACGTATCCCTCTCCAATCAAAACCTTCAACATCCTTGCGTGCGGAGGGAGGGTTCGAGGAAAACAGAATAGCCTTCTGATTCAAATTCAGCGACCTTGGCATTTGGAACTTCAGACGTCACAGAAAGGCGGTCTACTACAAAAAAACACGCGACTACTCCAGCAACTGGGTGAAGTGCTATATAAAAGTCATCTCGCTAGCAAACACGACGTAACAGAAAACCTATTCGCATGTCATGAGTGTGACTTTACAGCTGTTTGGAAAGACTACTTATTACAGAAGCATGTGCTTACTCAATGTGACTCTGCAGCTGAGATTTTAGCGGCCACCGAACGATTGCTTGGAAATTATTTGAAGAGGCGTATTTCGCCTAGGGCGCGGTTATAAGACCAATGTAGGCAAAAATTGGTAAACTTGTATTTACACTGTGACTCTGAGCTGAGAACCGCACACAGCAAGGCAGCACAAGTGTCCATTGGCCACCCAATGATGTTAGCGGCCACCGATACAGCTGCTTGGAGATTATTTGAAGAGGCGTATTTCGCCGTGGGCGTTTTAAGACCAATCTCGGCACAAATTGGTATCTAATGAGTTCGGAGAAGGTAGCCGGATTTTCAACATCAATGACGTTTTCTTTCTAGTATGATCTTTGAAGAGATATATTAAATTACGTTGTGGGTTGCTTCCTGAGTTTCTCTTCCCTTCGTGTCTATGCCCAGAGGAGTGCAGATCTTTTCTTCTATGTAAGAGCCCCTGCTGTGGGAATAAAAGAGAAGGCAAAAGCTTGGTTCCGACTGCTTTTCCCCCAACCTTTGCCTTATATCACATCTGAAATGAAACGATGTACAAAGTGTGAAAAACGACACGACGTAAGCTTTGAAATTAGCTTTTTGAGTCTCAGGCTGGTGAAGTGTGACAATTGATCATATTTTCCACCCAAAAGCATTATTATCTCAACATACTATGGGAAACGTATATATAAAGAGCTGGAAAACTTATCTTGTATGCAATATCTCTCAGTGCCGTATAATGCACAGACAACAACAGAATGAAAGTCACCCTCAATTTTACCTAAATTACAATATTGTCGAATGCCCTAATTGTCTAATCGGAGCAGAGTTGTCTGGCGTATCCCTATCCAATCAAAAGCTTCAAAATCCTTGCGTGCGGAGGGAGGGTTCGAGGAAAACAAAAGAGCCTTCTGATTCAAATTCCTGAAAGTTCTGGCACCTCAGCATTTGAAACTTTCAGACGTCACAGAAAGGAGGTCTACTACAGAAAACACGCGTCGGTCATCTTGACATCTTCAAGGTAATTTTTCCTATTTAACTATCATGATTTAAAAGTACTAATGTATACATTGAAAGTTGCAGTCCTAAACACTATGAAGATATCAATCATGATCAGATATATTTATTGTTGTTAAATGCAGCTAGCAGTTTCTTTAGATTTGCGTCATCACCTGTAGTTGTCTGTACCGACTGTAGTTATTTACTAAATACTTACCCAGGCAGGCCATTGCGAGTTTTAGTTTCCAAAGTTCACAAACCTTTGCTTGCTTAGTAACCTGGTGGCTTACTAACTATGCTTTGGTAGAGTTCCCGAGTTCTTGAACCAAACTTGAAAGCATCCTCCAGGTCACTCTATCCTCCATCTGGATTTCCTTTAATTCTGTATTCTGTCAGACTGATGTCTGATCTTAGGTTGTCAAGGAAATGAATCCTAGGTCTCCGTCGACTTCTTTTCGCCTTTTGTGGGTTCCCAAAAGGACTAGCTTGGATGGTAAATACATGTATTAGGATGTCTAACGCAGTGTGCAAGTTTCATTTTGCATGTTTTGATTTTCTCAATGGCTAGGGGTATTACAATCCTGACACAGCTGCTCATTAGGACATTTTTGCTCCCAGGAGATGTTACGCAAACTAATTAATGTCATAAACGATTTGGTGAGCGTCAAAGCTTCACTGGCATACAGTAAGAGTAATAATACTGTGGCAATGACGAGTTTTATTTACACACACACACACACACACACACACACACACACACACAGATATATATATATACACACACACACACACACACACACACACACACATATATCTATATCTATACTATATCTATCTGTCTCTCTCTCTATCTATCTCTCTATCTATCTATCTATCTATCTATCTATCTATATATATATATATATATATATATATATATATATACTACACACACACACACACACTACATATATACTCTATATCTATACTATATCTGTCTCTCTCTATATCTATCTATCTATCTATCTATCTATCTATATATATATATATATATATATATATATATATATATATAGTATA